CACAGCCTCTGCAGCATTTGTCACGTGTGGCCTTTTGAATGATGGCCATTCTGACTGGTGCGAGGTGATACGTCATGGCAGCTTTGATTTGCTTTTCTCTGTTATTTAGCGATGTTGAGCATCTTCCCGTGTGCCTGTTGTCCACCTGTTTGCCTCCTTTGCAAAAAATGTCTGGTTCGGTCTTATGCCCATTGGGTTTGTTTCCTTGTTATTGCATGGGACGGGCTGTTTGCATATTGTGGAAGTTAAGCCCTGCCCTTGGATGTTTAATAGGCTGATATGTGGGGCCAGGCCAAGCAGTGTGTTTTCCTCTCTGCGAAATTTGCCTTGTTTGGGTAACTGAGTGGATTCCCTGGACCCACAGAGCATACTTACCCTTTCAGAGGCAGAGGAGCCGAGGCAGGAAGACAAAGGAGCAGGCAGGCCAGCACCGTGGGGGAGGCGGACAGAAACAGCCCAAGCAAAGTCCTCCACTGCTCCACTGCTCTGTCCCCGGGGCTGCCGGGGAGGGGAACTGGGTTTCCAGGCGACTCAGGCAGACATTAGAGGGCAGGGGTCAGTCATGCCTCTGTGGCCACCTACTTAGGGCAGCGGGCCTAACTGGTCAGGCCAGTCGTAAACAGGCCAATTCTAAGGAACAGAGCCTGCGGTACAGAGGGAGACTTGTGAACTCTCACCAGAACATCGTAATTCTCCCTGCGCTTATCTTGGCCAAGAGTCCAAGACCAGACTTGCAGGCTTCCCGGAGACAGAGTTTGCTTCCAACAAGTTGTACAGCAACTCTGTCCCCCGACTGCTGGGGGTCCCCCAGCTGACCAGCTGGCCACAGTCCTGGCTCTCGTGTGCTCTGCAGGGAGCACCCTGTCTCCTGCATTTTGTTTTTTTTTTCCTTACTGCCCCTCCAACTCAGCTACCTGCTGAGAAAAATGCCTATTTTCCTCAGATTCAGTTTTGCAACATGTTACCAGGGAGCTGCCCCAAAATAAAAGCCATATGATTTAGACACTGAGCCCGTTCTGTGAGAAGAGAGAGGTTTGACTTACGATGAGCAGAACTCACAAGGGGGCATCTAGGAGCTTTGTAAAGGATGCAAAGAAAAAGTGCCCAAGATTTCCTGCAGAGACTTAAAAAGATCAGGGGAGCCAGCTCGAACTCTAAATTGGAAGCAAAGCTGTTTGCATTGTTGGTTTTTTACAGGTGAGACGAAAGTTGGGGTTTTTAAACAAGAAAACAGAAGAAGGGTGTTCAAGTCTGTTTATTTATACTATAGGGTTTTTTTTCTTTTGTGTGTGTTCTCTGGGTGGGGAACGTGGGGATCTCTGAAAACAGAGAGAAACATATTTCATTCTTGTCTGCGGTGGCCCCCGGTTCCCGGGGACGTGATAGATTTAAAAGGCTAGCAAACACGAGACTGTCCCCTAATAGACGTGTGGGGTGCTGCGGGGTCTCAGGTCAGGGCTGAGGGGCTCCGGCTGGGGACGGACCTTAACGTGAAGCCTGTCACCTGTCACCCTCCCTACTGTCACCATCTCTGATGGGCTTCTGTCCGTCCCAAGACATGTAAACCATCCACGCAGGGAGGGGGCGTTCCTCAGGGACCGGGTGTTCCCAGACTCACGGCTGCAGAGCAGAGCGTCAAAGCGAGCGGAGAATCTTCACCCCAAGAGCAGGTATGGAGTCACTCTCCCAGCCTCGCTGTCCCCACGGCGTGAACCGGGGACCCAGGGCAGATGCCTTCAGGATGTGTGTAAGGAGGGTCCTCCTACTGACGTAACAAATCCCCATGACTTAGTGGCCCCCGAACAGCACAGGATTATTATTATCTCAACGGTTCTAGATGTCAGACGTCTGACTTGGGTCTCACTGGGCTAAAATCAAGGTGTCACCACGCCTCCTTCGTTGCCTACGTCAGTTGGACGAGGCACGGGGTGGGGGTGTGCATGACGCGGGCTGGAACTGATTTACAGAAGGTGGTCAGGTTGCAGGTATTCAGGGAATGTAAGCTGCCAGCCCTCTTAAGTGCTGGAAGGCTGCTACACCTGGCCCTGCGCCCGTGGTTAAAATGTTCCCTCCAGACATTGCCTGCTCATTGGACCATCATTTGCTAAATAAGTCTTTTACTTGAGCCATTAAAAGGCGGCATCAGAAGCTTGCTCAACCCCATAAAGGTTCTCTCACCTTTGTGTTGAAGGGCCTAAGCCTGGTTTTGTTCAGGGCAGCCCACCTGAAAGTGCCTTTCTCGATTTCCGGTTGTTTCTATGGATGGCTCTTGAGGGTAGGAGTTGTGGATTCAGGCTTCTGGATCATCCCCTTCAGAGGCTGACTCAACTGAGAGCAATGCCCTTTCTGCTCCCATTCCTTCCTCCTCTCTGCTGCCTGGATGGCCTGTGTGTTGCCTGGTGCAGCGGCAACCATGTTGTGACCACGAGGCAAAGGACAGTAGCCTTCCAGGGAGTTGGAAAGGGGCTGCCAGCCCTGGATTGATTCCCTCAGATTAGCTGGGAGATAACACACCCCTCTCTAGCTTGCAGCATTTTTATTCCTTGTGTCTGTTACTAGCAGCTCAAAGAAGTGAAGCCACTACGGGCAGTGGTCCTAATGGGTGGGGTCGAGACCACCGTTTGAGATCAGAGGTACAGAAGCAGACACAGAAC